AAGAAAGGACTAAAAGTGCTCATCTAGCAAGCACCTCCAAGTATACGGGCAAAAGAACGCATAAGGGAAAGGAAGTTGCTATTCCTCAGGGTCCGGAACCAAAGAAACAGAAAACGCAGGATGGTTGTTTCTTTTGTGGCAAGCCCGGATACAGAAAAAAGGATTGTGCCAAATACGTCGCCTGGCGTATAAAGAAAGGTCCATTTCATGTTTTGGTCTGTTCTGAAATAAATTTAGCTTCAGTACCAAGAAATATTTGGTGGGTAGATTCTGGTGCTACTACTCACATATGTGTTTCTATGCAGGGTTGCCTGAACTACCGAAAGCCAACTGATGCTGAAAGATACATCTTTGTGGGTGATGGCAAGTCAATAGAAGTACAGGCAATAGCGCACTTTAGATTATTACTGAAAACTGGTTATTATTTGGATTTATTAGACACTTTTGTTGTACCGTCCTTTAGACGGAATTTAATTTCTGTTTCTGTATTGGACAAATTGGGATATTATTGTTCTTTTGGAAATATGAAGTTTAGTATGTCTATTAATTCCAATGTTATTGGTACTGGTTTACTTAATGTGTTTGATAATCTATATTTGCTCGAAACTATTGCATCTTATAATGCAACCTTGCACGTGGAATCACGAGGTACAAAGCGTAAATTAACTAAGGAAAATTCAGCCTCATTATGGCACAAACGCCTAGGTCACATCTCTAAATCTAGAGTTGAGCGCCTTGTGTCTGATGGAATTTTGGACTCTCTTGATTTTTCAGATTTTGATGTCTGTGTTGAGTGTATCAAGGGAAAACAGACCAAAATAAAGAAATATGGTGCCCATAGGACTACAGATGTCTTAGAACTAATTCATACGGACAATTGTGGCCCATTCCCTATGGCGTCTTGGAATGGTCAACAATATTTTATCACATTCATAGACGATTATTCCAGATATGGGTATCTATTTCTTATCCATGAGAAATCACAGTCTTTGGACGTATTCAAAAGATTTAAGGCCGAAGTTGAGTTACAACTCAACAAACGGATTAAAAGTGTCAGGTCTGACCGTGGTGGTGAATACTATGGCAGATATGATGAATCAGGTGAACAACGTCTAGGACCGTTTGCAAAATACCTGGAGGAATGTGGAATCGTCCCACAATACACCATGCCAGGATCACCTAGCATGAATGGTGTATCTGAGAGACGAAACCGGACTCTTAAGGATATGGTAAGAAGTATGATCAGTCATTCTACTTTACCAGAGTCCCTCTGGGGTGAGGCTCTAAAGACAGCAACTTATATCTTAAATCGGGTGCCAACTAAAGCACCTGCAAAAACACCTTATGAGCTTTGGGTTGGGCGAAAGCCTAGTCTAAAACATTTGCATGTGTGGGGGTGTCCTGCTGAGGCGAGGCCTTATAAACCTCATGAACGAAAATTGGACTCTAAAACCATTAGCAGCTACTTTATTGGCTATGCCGAACGATCGTTTGGTTACAAGTTTTATGAATTACCAGTAAATAATAAAACCTTTCAGAAGTCTACAATAAATATTTCAGCCCCAGAAAATTATTTATGCATGTTGATGGGCAAAATGCCTTGAGCCATCTGTTTGTCTCCAGCGAAACCAGCAATGGTTGTGCTAGTTAGGATTAATCTGTGGTTCCTCTTTCCTAGTTTCTTCAAAGAAGATTTCGAAAGTAGATTTACTGCTGCCCCATTATCCACCAATACCCGGTTCATCTGTACCCCATCGAAGAAGGCCTTGATATACAAGGGTTTGACATGTTGTGTCATGGATGTTGCAGGATACTCAAAAGGGTATGAGAGGTTAATACTCATCTCTTCCTCACTCTCATCTCCAGTTTCCATTAGCGTGGCCACTTCGGATTCGTTTTGCACCATACTCACTTGTGAGTCTTCACTAGAAACTGGAATTGGGTCAATCTCCTGATCTTGATTTTCATCTTCAGCTTGAAACTCCTGTGGTAGTATATGCACCATATTTACTGACACAGGAGAAAACGAGCCAAATTGGACGACTGGCTGTACTTGCTTCTTTTCGTGGTCAACTTGTTCAATTACTTCAGAAGCATCTTCCATGCTACATTCTGGCACTTCAGTACTAGTAACTTTTTTTGAATAGTCTGTTTCTGCTGGTTTTTTGACAAAAAATGTCTGTTCAGCCATGAAGGCTTCGAACATTTCCTCCTCAACCATCTCCTTCCTTTGGCCTAGGCCAACTTCTCCCTCTGTCTCACTATCACTTTCCATCAAAGCCCTTTCCAATCCTACTAAATTGGATTTTTCTTTGGCTTTTAGTTCGGAGTGGACTTTGGCCTACTACTCTCTGCTACAACTCATTTTGTCTTGAGGAGTTGAGTTTGGACTATGATCTGACTTTGGACTTTTCTTTTCCTCTGTCTGGCCCTTTGACTGGACCAATGAAGAGCTTTCTCGACTTTCTTTCAGATCCTTCTGGTACTGAATGTACCTTCGCTGGATCTTCCTCATTTGGGACCTAGAAATTACTAGAACCATATCTGGTTCCTTTGTTTTTGGGTGCTTGAGTAACACCCAATTGTTTGGAGCCACCAAAGGAGGTTTAACCATCCTACCTTGGTTTCTAACAACATTTCTTTGGGTAGACATCTCCCTAGGTTTGTTCTGCATGACAAACCAATCTGGAACTCCAGGTACCCATGAACCCACTAGCCCAGTTGTTGAACTGTCTCTTTCATCCTTCGAATCCATCTTCGAAACTAGTTGTGAAGGCCACTACTTGGCCTTGACTGCTTGTTTTGGGCCCAATTCAGGCCTTCGATAAAGGTGGCCACTTTCCATCCTGTGTGAGGCTGATCTAGGAGGCCAATCCCTGGCTTTGATTCCATAACTTGAACTCCTTTCAGGATGATTACCCTTTATTTTGTAATAGTTAGGTGGTCTAGATTCATGTAGAGGTCTCTTGCTTTTAGAGTGCACTCTAGTGGCCGTTGGCTCAGCCATTAATGGCTTCTGCCTAATACCAGTTGGATATTGTAGACACCCCATTTTTGACCGACCTTAAGACTCAAACGTCATCGATTGAGTGCTCGGTGATAGTGCATGTTGTGCTCGTTTCGAGTTTCTGGAGTTTCGGCTGAGTGCCTTGCCTCCGGGCCTCTAAACTCTTTGTGCTTTGGCTCGGTTTGTGGACCAAGCCTTATTTCCCTTCCCTAGAGGGAGGGAATGGTCTGTGGACCACCTCATTGTGGTCGTAGACTACTTTTCTCGTTTGGAGATCAGTTTTCAATTTTCGGAGCCTTCGGCCACGTGCCTTGTCTCGGGACCGCTTAATGTTCTCCGTTTGGCGTGATTTTTGAACCACACCTTGTTGCCTTTTCCTTGAGGGACACTGTGGTCCGGGAGACCACTTTTGTGGTCATAAACCATTTTTGGTGCCCGTAGACTAGTTTTCGAGGCTTCCGGCTGAGCGTCTTGCCTCTCGAACTTTTGTCTTGCATCATTTTTGGTTTTTTTTTGGTACAAACCTTGTTTTCCTTGTTTGGAAGGTGGTACAAGGGTGGGAGACCAGTTCTTCCCCTTGGAGACCACTTTTCTTCCCACTAGCCGATTTTCTGGTCTACCAACTGGTCTCTTTGGTCTTTGGGCCATCTTTTCTGGTCAGCCACTATACCACTGCATTGTTTTCATGTTGCTGACCTTCTCCCACCATGGCCGACCACTCTTTGTCTTGGGAGACCACTTGTGGTGGTCGGCCGACCACTTCAAGTAGTTAGCCGAACGCCCCGGGAGGAAACGAGTCCCCCGTTCCGTTCGATATTGGGCTCATTACAGTTCGGACTCTCAATTTGTCACGGTTCTAAATCTGAACCAAAGAGTCCAACTCCGGCAAATCGTTTTGAGAAAACAGATTTTGAAAGAAGTGCCAAACATGGACTGCTTTGCCAGATACAGAGTCGCCACCTAAATATTTTATTTTGGAGAAATTTAGGAAACCCTGACTCGTTTGCCTAAGGCAACGTGTCCGTCATCACCAAAGTTGCCTCGGCTCGGGAACTTGGGTACGATTGGGGAAGGTCACTTCGTGAGCACCCCCGCTCGCCCGATCAAAGATCGGCCTCTACTAACCATGATATCTAGTTTTGAAAACATTATGCGCTCTTATTCCGGTTATTAGCCTAGAATTACTATGTGATGCCACAGCATACAAGTAAAGACTAGATCTCCTAATTTGGAACAAAACATTGCATGTTCGTTTGTTTGAAAACAGTTTGAAGTTTGCTACTCGCAAGTAGGCTTAAAATGTAATCCAAAGTTGTATCAGTCGAGGGTAGTGGCAAGGGTTCAATTCAGGTGCTCTGGTGAATTCCATCAATATGTTAATTTTGTTTTGTACTTGTTAAAAAAGAATGGTAATTTTGGGTTTTTTGTTAGATATTGGGAATTGACATCATGAACAGCACTCAATGCTCTCAAGGTGTTTTATACATACTATTTTAGAAAGATTGCTTCTTGGAAATGTTGTTTCAGTGTTTGATTGGCTTTTCTAGTTCTCTTTGTTGAGGGCATATTATGTTGGTAAATCTTGAGCTTGTGTTTTATTCTTTGGCAATCAGTTAGTATGAGGTTTATCTATTTGTTGTTTAATGTTGGTATGTGATTTAGAAATAATATACAATCTTTGTGAATGGAGAAGAAAGAACAAGAGGCTTTGTAATGGAAATTTGTATTTGAAATCTGTATGACAAATTATTATAGGTAATCTGGAGACGTTAAAAATGTATAAAAAAAACATCCAGTTTAATTTATTATAATATATATTGGGAGAGTCTTATTAATATATGTTCTTAGAACACATGTTAAGAATATTTTTAAAAAATAGATATTTTTTATTATGCATACTTACACATAGATGTATAAACATTTTAAACTTCTTAATATGTGCCTAAAGACACATCTATCTAAAGATACATTTATCGAAAGAAAAAGACCAAGATGAACGGCGCATGTCAACCAGTAGGCAAACAACTTATTATTTAATCACCATAAAGCAAAGTCATTCGTCATTACAACCATGAAGAAGAGAATTCAATCAAAGAGATCAAACTAACCTACTTCGATTCCTCAATTGCAAACAAGCTCCTAAAAAAACAAAACTAAGTAAAAAAGAAAAAGAAAAGCAAAGGGCAAGAAATGAAACAATTGGCAAACATTTGAGTCCTTATTTTTTTCCCTTCCTATTTGCCCTTAACAAAAGCGAGGACTTCAGATTCAGTAGGAAGAGCAGGGATGGCTCCTTTTTTGGTGGTTGTGATGGCTCCACATGCATTTGCATATTTCAGTACTGCCTTCAACTTTTCTTCATCCTGCAAAAATCATCCATTTCCAATCATTCATGCCAATTGCACAAAAACAATAAAAAAACAACCAAATAAAAAATAAAATAAAACAAAATACCAGTGAGTATATATTTACCTCAAGTACAGATCGGTCATCAACAATCTTGCATAGGAGAGCACCAACAAACGAGTCACCGGCACCAGTTGTATCCACTGCTTTGACAGGGAATCCATCCACACATCCACGGAAATTCTTAGTGTAATATTTGCAACCCTTGATCACCTCTGCCTTGTCCCAGATGCTCATGATTTGCTCACGCGCCTCCTTCTCTGATGGCCACAGTGGCAGCCGGAGGTTGGGATCATAAGAGAGCAGGGCACCGGCATCCTTTGCCACCTCCATTGCCTTCAAATGAGCCAATCTGCAAGGCTCCACGATCAAGCTTATCAATCCGTAATGGAAAATTTTAGCCTTTCTGATAAGCTCGAGGTTGAGTTCATCGGGAGTCAAGAGCATGTACTCAATGTAATGATCTGGTAGCTTCACAGCACGTGGATTTCTTGGAGTAAAGCGATGAAGGGGTAGGTGTGTAGTAGGTGGAGTAGGTGGTAGTAGGTGATAGTGGTATAGGTGTGTAGTAGGTGGTATAGGTGTGTAGTGGTAGGTTTTAACAGTCCCCCGCAAACTCAAGGAGGAGAGACACAAATCAACTTGAGTTTGGAAAGAGTAACAAAATAAGAAAATAGACTAATACATAAAATAAAAGAGGATAGGAGACACTGTATGGTCGTGTCAGACCGTTGATGAAGACACTGTATGGTGGTGTCAGACTGTTGTAGGAGCTAACCGGAATCAATGTTGGGACAGTTTATGGGGTCATGCCGGACCGTTGGAGAAGCTAATCGGAACACATCCAAGCAATAACCCTAAGATGAAACAGGAAAACAGTCCGCATACACGACACAACCTGAAATAAAAAACATAGAGCTAACAAAAAAAAAAAAACCATGCACATCCCGCACGGGTAGGCCAAAAACACATCAAAACCGTCTAGCATCCAAACATAGAAATCCAACACATGAATATAAATTAAAAGACAAGTGTCCACAAAGGTGCTACAAGCAGCCATCAACAAACCAGTACCATCAATCATGCGAGCTGCCAGCCAACTAAAAGCCAGCAAACCAGCAGTCACCAAGAGAGGAAGAGAACAGAGTCTCCCTTTCCAAGCCTTTCCAGCAGACCTTAAACACTGAAGTAACCCAAAGAACCGAATAGCCAGGAACCTTTGGAGCAACAAATCTGCAGTCCCCAAAACTGGACAACACTGCCGACCCATGCAACCCAAGATCTGCACATACATTATAGTAGACCCTGTAAGAACAGCCATGAGTAAGTTCCTCCAGCAAATAAGGTACAATCTACTAGACCCACAATTTAGGGGCTCACACCACTCAACTTGCGTTTCCTTACCCTGCAGATAAAAAGATATAGTATATATGAGGTGTCATGCACCAAAGGGGGCTCCGAATTCGGAGATTTTGTTTGGCCCTAAGGTGTAATGTACCAAAGGGGGCTCCGAATCCGGAGACTTTTTTTGGCCAATCGTGATATCCACGAAAGGCGCTTCGAATCCGGAGACTTTAATCGGCCCTAAGGTGTCATGCAACAAAGGGGGCTTTGAATCCGGAGACTTTGTTCGGCCTTAGGGTGTCAGGCACCAAAGGGGGCTCCGAATACGGAGACTTTGTTTGGCCCTAAGGTGTCATGTACCAATGGGGGCTCCGAATCCGGAGACTTTGTTTGGCCAATCGTGATATCCACGAAGGGCGCTCCGAATCCGGAGACTTTAATCGGCCCTAAGGTGTCATGCACCAAAGGGCGCTCTGAATCCGGTGACTTTGTTCGGCCCTAAGGTGTCATGCACCAAAGGGGGCTCCGAATCTGGAGACTTTGTTTGGCCCTAAGGTATCATGCACCAAAGGGTGCTCCGAATCCGGAGACTTTGTTTGGCCAATCGTGATATCCACGAAGGGCACTCTGAATCTGGAGACTTTAATCGGCCCTAAGGTGTCATGCACCAAAGGGGGCTCCGAATCCGGAGACTTTGTTCGGCCCTAAGGTGTCATGCACCAAAGGGGGCTCCGAATCCGGAGAATTTGTTTGGCCAATCGTGATATCCACGAAGGGCGCTTCGAATCCGGAGACTTTAATCGGCCCTAAGGTGTCATGCACCAAAAGGGGCTCCGAATCTGGAGACTTTGTTCGGCCCTAAGGTGTCATGCACCAAAGAGGGCTCCGAATTCGGAGCCTTTGTTCGGCCCTAACGTGTCATGCACCAAAGGGGGCTCCGAATTCAGAGCCTTTGTTTGGCCAATCGTGACATCCACAAAGGGCGCTCCGAATCCAGAGACTTTAATCAGCCCAAAGTGTCATACACCAAAGGGGGTCCGAATCCGGAGATTTTGTTCGGCCTTAAAGTCTCATGCACCAAAGGGGGCTCCGAATCTGGAGACTTTGTTTGGCCAATCGTGATATCCACGAAGGGCGCTCCGAATCCGGAGACTTTAATCGGCCCTAAGGTGTCATGCACCAAAGGGAGCTCTGAATCCGGAGACTTTGTTCGGCACCAAAGGGGGTTGTGAATCCGGAGACTTTGTTCGGCCCTAAGATGTCATGCACCAAAGGGGGCTCCGAATCTGGAGACCTTGTTTGGCCCTAAGGTTTCATGTACCAAAGGGGGCTCCGAATCCGGAGACTTTGTTTGGCCGATCGTGATATCCACGAAGGGCACTCCGAATCTAGAGACTTTAATCGGCCCTAAGGTGTCTTGCACCAAAGGGGCTCCGAATTCGGAGACTTTGTTCGGCTGTAAGGTGTCTGTACCAAAGGGGGCTCCAAATCCGGGGACTTTAATCGGCCCTAAGGTGTCATGAACCCAAGGGGGCTCCGAATCCGGAGACTTTGTTCGTCCCTAAGGGACTCTGGTAATGTTTTAGACTAGGCTTTCACCCAACCCAAAGCTCATAAGGTGTTTTTGCAGCTGCTTCAGTTGGCACCCGATTTAAGATATAAGTTGCTGTCTTTAGAGCCTCACCCCAGAGGGACTCTGGTAAAGTAGAATGACTGATCATACTTCTTACCATATCCTTAAGAGTCCGGTTTCGTCTCTCAGATACACCATTCATGCTAGGTGATCCTGGCATGGTGTATTGTGGGACGATGCCACATTTCTCCAGGTATTTTGCAAACGGTCCTGGACGTTGTTCACCTGATCCATCATATCTGCCATAGTATTCACCACCACGGTCAGACCTGACACTTTTAATCCGTTTGTTGAGTTGTAACTCAACTTCGGCCTTAAATCTTTTGAATACGTCCAAAGACTGTGATTTCTCATGGATAAGAAATAGATACCCATATCTGGAATAATCGTCTATGAATGTGATAAAATAATGTTGACCATTCCAAGACGCCATAGGGAATGGGCCACAAAATGTCCGTATGAATTAGTTCTAAGACGTTCTGTTAGTTCTATGGGCACCATATTTCTTTATTTTGGTCTGTTTTCCCTTGATTGGCCAAACAAAATCTCCGGATTCGGAGCCCCCCTTGGTGCATGACACCTTAGGGTCGAACAGAGTATCCGGATTCGGAGCCCCATTTGGTGCATGACACCTTAGGGCCGAATTTAGTCTCCGGATTCGGAGCGCCATTCGTGGATATCACGATTGGCCAAAACAAGTCTCTAGATTCGAACCCCCTTTAGCATTGACATCTGAGGGCCGAACAAAGTCTCTCGGATTCAGAGCCCCCATTGGTGCATGACACCTTAGGGCCGATTAAAGTCTCTAGATTCGGAGCGCCCTTCGTGCATATCACGATTGGCCAAGCAAAGTCTCCGGATTCGCCCCCTTTGGTGCACAACACCTGAGGCAGATCAAAGCCTCCAGATTCATAACCCCCTTTGGTGCATGACACCTTAAGGCCCAACAAAGTCTCTAGATTTCGGAGCCCCCAATTGGTGCATGACACCTTAGGGCCGATTAATGTCTCCGAATTCGGAGCACCCTTCGTGGATGTCACGATTGGCCAAAACAAAGTCTCCGGATTTGCAACCCCATTTGGTGCAGCACACCTTAGGGCCGATAAAGCCTTCGGATTCAGAGGCGCCCTTCGTGGATATCACAATTGGCCAAACAAAGTCTCCGGATTCGGAGCCCCCTTTGGTGCATGACACCTTAGGGCCGATTAAAGTCTCCGGATTCGGAGCGCCCTTCGTGGATATCACGATTGGCCAAACAAAGTCTCCGGATTCGGAGCCCCCTTTGGTACATGACACTTTTGGGCCGAACAAAGTCTCTGGATTGGGAACCCCTTTTGGTGCCATGACACCTTAGGGCCGAACAAAGTCTCTGGATTCAGAGCCTCCTTTGGTGCAATGACACCTTAGGGCTGATTAAAGTCTCTGGATTCAGAGCGCCCTTCGTGGATGTCACGATTGGCCGAACAAAGTCTCCAGATTCGAAGCCCCCTTTGGTGCATGACACCTTAGGGCCGACTAGTCTACGTATTCGGGAGCGCCCTTCGTGGATATCACGATTGGCCAAACAAAGTCCCCAGATCGCAAGCCACCGTTGTGTGCCACAACACCTGAGGGCGATCAAATCTACGTATTCGGAGCTCCCTTAGTGCATGACACCTTAGGCCTAAAGTCGTCGGATTCGGAGCGCCCTTCGTGGATATCACGATTGGCCAAACAAAGTCTCCGGATTCGGGGCACCCTTTGATGCATGACACGAGACCGATTAAAGTCTTCGGATTCGGATTAATTCACCCAAAAAAAAAAAGTCTTCACAAGCGCCCTTTGTGGATATCATGATTGGCCAAACAAAGTCTACGGATTCGGGGCCCCTTTTGGTGCATGACACCTTAGGGCTGATTAAATCGCCGGATTCGGAACGCCCTTCGTGGATGTCACGATTGGCCAAAACAAAGTCTCCGGATTTGACAACCCATTTGGTGCATTGACACCTTAGGGCCGATTAAAGTCTTCAGATTCGGATCGCCCTTCGTGGATATCACAATTGGCCAAACAAAGTCTCCGGATTCGGTGCCCCCTTTTGGGTGCATGACACCTTAGGCCGATTAAAGTCTCCGTATTCGGAGCGCCCTCGTGGATAATTCACGATTGGCCAAACCAACCAGATTCGGACCCGGTACCATGCACACTTTGGGGCCGATTAAAGTCTCCGGATTCGGAGCCCCCTTGGGTACAGGACACCTTAGGGCCGATTAAAGTGTCCAGATTTGGAGCCCCCTTGGGTGCAGGATACCTTAGGGCCGATTAAAGTCTCCGGATTCGGAGTGCTTCGGAGCGCCCTTCGTGGATATCACGATTGGCCAAACAAAGTCTCCGAATTCGGTGCACCCTTTGATGCATGACACCTTAAAGCCGACTAAAGTCTTCGGATTCAAAGCGCCCTTCGTGGATATCATGATTGGCCAAACAAAGTC